TAGCGGCAATTTTATTTTCATGGATAAGGACAAAACTTATAGATAAGGATAAACTTTCATATGGATAAGGACAACATTTCATTAGACAATGCATGGATTCAAACCCTAAAAATAGATGTGCGAGGCGGATGATTCAACACATGATCAAACTAATTTTTCTTCTTCTTCTTCTTCTTCTTCTTCTTCTTCTTCTTCTTCTTCTTTCTTTCTTTCGAAAAACTACTCTTTAGAAGAAATTATATAGTTATGGTCTATGGAAATGATGAGAATTTCCATTAATGGCAGTAAAAATGTGTTTTCTTTTTACTACTCTTAAGGTGTATTCCATGTCCGAAATGTAACTTGAAGACGAAGGAGTCAAAGATGAGGAACAAGGAGGATGCTTCGTAAAACGAAGAAATAGAATAATATATACCTTTTTGTAGGTCACATACTTAATGGTTTGTCTGATTCCTTATTCGCCATTTATGAAGTTCTATACGGATTTGTATATGTCTAGTGGTTTGATGATGTGATTTTGTCTAGTTTTCATGTTAAACTTAGGAAACAAAAGCGTATATACAATGTGTGATGATCTGACAGTGGAGCCATCATATGCTTTTATGTAGATGCCATGCTTATCTTTGGATCCATTCAGATAAGTGAACTTTACGAAAAAGCTATTGTCATCTAAACTCTCATGTACGACACGAGAGAGTCATATGTGATTCTGGATATTAAATCAAGTGAACTGATAAAGAAGTTCCATTGACTTAATCTCGCTACATTGAGAAGGTGGTCGGTTAAAAACCCTAGGGATCTAAGTATGGAACTTGTGGCTATTAATGACCCACCAGTTTCACACCTGGAGTATTCCATATTAATTGGGTGCTTTATGTATTCAGTGAATTGCATAAGACCAGATGTCGCATATGCGATAGGACAATCAAGTAGGTATACGACTAATCCTAATGCTCATTATTGGCATTGCAATGAGGCCTGTACTAGGAAATATCTCAAAAGGCACAGTGCATTATGCATTGATATACAGTGTGATTTTCATTCATTTTAGGAGGAAACACTGATCCTAGTTGGATTTCTGATCTTAAAGGTAACCTGACACTAAAAAGAATCACTAGTTCCACTATGAAGTCAAAGTTTGTGGCTTTGACTTCTTGCGGAGGAAAGGCAAATGGATGGAAGACTTGGTTTATGACATTCTTTTTTGGTCGAAACAATTCTTACCTATTACTATACTTTGTAATAGTAATATGCAACTTTGGCTAATGTATATAACCAAGTGAAAATGAAAATTTGATCAAATGGGAGTTAGACGTGGTAAAATCTGAGGATTGATCACTTGGAGTTGTGTCCATAAAATATGACAGGGCTTAAGAAAGTTTAGTTGATCATTTGATGAAATGATTGGCTAGTGATTTGATAGTCAAATTTGCGAAAGGGATGGTTTAAAAGTCTATATAATTTATGATGAAGCGATATCCAATTCCCTTAATACAATGTTAGAGGCTGAACGAATTAGTAGGGCAATGGGAGGAGGTGGCGCCGACAGGAGCAGGAGCTGGGACGACGGACACCGTTCGGAGCAGGGACAGGAGAACGAAGAGAGGCAGCAGGGCTGGAGAACACAGATCGACGAGCCGGGAGGATGGACGTCGTCTCTAGGTTGGCTGAGGGTTGCGCTCGCCAAATAGACAAGCGACGGGGAGCATCGACCGGTTTGGGGCGGAGCTTTCAGAGCTCGTCTCTTTCTGTTTCCTTTCCAATTTCTACGAAATGGTAATTAGGGTTCAGTTTTAGAGAGAGAACCCTATGTTTTTATATTTTTTCGATTTTCTAATTTTTTTAAATTAAACTAAACGAGCGAAGGGAAAAAACCAAGCAGCAACTCTAGCGGTTAACCGCCTCGACCGCTACAAAAAATTGTCGCAATTTTTTATTGTTTCGAGCTGGTTTGGAGGTCGAGTGGCAGTTTTACTGGTCGATTTTAATAACAATGATAATTACCATAATACTCTTACTAATTATATAAGCACCCTATTCGATCTGATCCGGCAAGCAACCCCTTCCCCAAATTAGCTTATTTCCCAACCTGCAGGGATCATAACGTGTCGGGTAGGAGGAGGATAGTGCATATCCGTTGTGCTACCCAAAGTAGTTCGGGTTTTACCCATACCGATACCCACGTAAGAATCAGACACAAAATCAAAATCTTGCCCATACTCGCTCGGGTTTCGAGTATCCATAGTTATCCATGGATAATAATTTATTTTTATAACTCCAACCAACATGTTAACATTCACACGTATGTTCATGTTACAATATAAGTGGAAAAGTACGAAAATAATTCATTAGAATAAGAAAAATAATTTCAAATAACGCAATTTTATGAAAATATTATATTTGTATGCTAAATATAAGATATTGTTGGAAAAATAATGATAATTTCCTGAAAAGATATATATGATTGAGTATAATCAGGCGGGTTCGGGTTGGATAGTGAGAAAATCATGTCCATTTATTTCCCCCAATATTCGGGTTCGAGTTTTACCCATACCCATTAAAAATTCTTCGAGTTCGAATTTTACTCTACCCAATTAAGTCGGATTCGGACGGATATTTTCCAATTCTAAGCAACGCCTTGCCTAATTAACTAGCAATACTAATAAATAATGAATAACAATTGTAGTATTATTGACCACATGTCCCTCTCAATGACCCATGCCTTACTTCATCACAAGAAACAACATGAAATATGGAAGCTGTAAAGTATATTTGAATGATGATTCCGCATTTAGCCAGACGCAAATTAACAAAGACAAAAGACTGACTGCATCATTAGTTTCGGTCACTGGGCATAAACTCATTTAAAATTTTAAAAAATTAAACTTATACGTACCATATCTCTACTACGACCCAAATATTCACCAATAACTTTAGCGACTTCTGAAATCCTTTTCCAAAATCTCGCTTATTTTTTATTGGTGCCGATCGCCCCATCTTCCGATGTTGAAACCAAGCTTGGGACAACACCACTCTTCTGCGGTTTGTCGGTTAACTTTTCTGCCAACCATTTCCTTTGTAATCGGGAATGGAAACGAATGGGAGAAAGAAGGTCGAAATTGAGAGAATGAGTTTGTTATATACACTAACTAGCATGGCGCCGGCCTTTTGGCGGAATGAATGAAGGTATGAAATTTGAGAATGTAATGGGTGTATAACTTATTGTTATTTTTTTTTTAAATAGGTGATAAATATAGTGAATTTTAGCAGGAAAGAGACATGGATGATGTAACGAAGCAAAAATCAGCCTTATGAACCAAAATCAAGTACTTGTTACCTTGTGAAACAATATTATTTCCATTAATATGATTAGGTCGAGTAAGTTCTATAGAAACCGAATTTCAGAAAACCGAATAAAAAATTGCCTATCCCAGCGGTCTTCGGGAAATGAGCATCTCACAATTGTTGCTATCTTTTACTCGACCCGTTGCTTTATAAAACTTTCATCTTGTCGTCATTGTGCTTTCTGATTTTTGTCAGGCAATGATAAAATCTAAAGAAATCAAGAACGAACAACACGATTTGGAATAGGAACCGATGTTCCTTTATCCCTAGAAAATGGTGGTAAACACGGACTCAACTGTCGAACTGGTTTGAATTGAGATTTTTATCGGGTATCAGGGAACCATGTGATTATGAATTAGGCTTAATCAAAACGAGTCAAAATTTGAAATTCAGCATGTTTGACCGACTCAGAGGAAAGAGACAAAAATTGACACTCCCTATTCTACCCTTCCTACAAACGTTCTTGGTACAAGGAATTTAAAAAGGAGAATGGTTTTTTCCTTCTCGCTATTATATTACCATAGTGAGTAAGAGTTTGAATATATATAGAGAAATTTTATGACTGTCAGAATATGACCGTTCTAAATATGATCATTTTGTTGTCTTTATGTTAATTTCAAACATCACAACAAACAAACATAAATTAAAAAAAAAAGGGTATGAAAACTCACCCCACTCACCCCTTTCTCCATAATTAACACCCCAAAAGTGCATGGTTGGAGGTTAAAGGGTATTAATACCCCATTTCTAAAAATATCCCTGCTTGGAGATGGCATAATTAACTAGTAATACTACTGATAAATAATGAGTAACGATGATAATAATAATAATTATTGATATTATTATTAATTGATTTATAATGGAAAGATCAAACAAAGGTTTACAAAATATTAGTGGGTAGCCGAGACACAATCTGGGGCCCCATTCCCTTAGCTATAGCAAAGTTAAGTTTAATAAAAATGTACGTGGCAGGCCGAGTCCCCACATCCCGGGACACGGAGAATTTCCGGATCTGCTTGAGCAAAGCCACAGTATCCGTATCCAACTCTCCCAGCGAAGAAAAAGAAAAGAGCAGGAAACCATAACCAGCCGTCATGTACAAGTCCCGATACTTGGCACGCTTTCGCTGAGCACTGCATCAGTAACAACTCGGCCCGGCACAAAACCAACCATACCAGTCTGAGTCAAAAGTGAATAGCCAGTCACATCGACACACACATCTCGCCCCCCCTGTCCCAGGAATAAAACAACAAATTTGCAGGACGAAAGGGTTCGTAGTAATCCAAAAACCTGTAACAAATGTCACATAAGGTGTCACGAACGAGGTTATTTCGATGCTTAATGCCCACAGGACATTACATAATATTATTATTATTATTGTTGTTGACCACTAGTCCCTCTCAATGATACATGTATCACTTCATCACCAGAAACATTATGAAATATGAAAGCTGTGAACTGTGAAGTATATTTTAATGATGATATTCCGCATCTAGCCAAACTCAACATTAACAAAGACAAAAACAAACTGCAGGCATTAGTCTCGCTCATCACTGGCCTATAAATTATTGCTCTATCTCAACTCCCACCATTGCAATTAACAGTCTCCATTCCATTTCTCCAGTCGCCAATCCCACAAACTATAGCCATAAACCATGGCCAAACTACTCGCTCTTCTCCAATATTTCTTCCTCATTCTCACGATCACTTTCTCCACGGCAAAATCCCACAGTTTCTCCACAGAATCGTCCCGAGAAGCACTCGGACTGATGACGACACAGGAAAAAATAACCCACCTCCATTTCTACATGCACGACGTCTTCGGCGGCGCCAACGCCACCGCCATCCCCGTCACCAAGATTCTCGACAACAACACGTTCTACGGCGGGATGTTCGTGGCCGACGACCCGTTGACCCTGGGGCCCGACCGGGACTCCGGCCCGGTCGGGACCGGTCGGGGAACCTACACGTTCCCTTCCCAGAACGACTTCGTTTTGGAGATGGTGTACAATTTGCGCTTCGCCCACGGGGGCTACAACGGCAGCTCGCTCTGCCTGCTGGGGAACATCTCCCCGGCGTCGATCGTGAACGAGGTGGCCATCGCCGGCGGGACGGGGGTCTTCCGGTTCGCTCGGGGATACGCCGTCGCCAAGAGGATCGTGCTCGATTTCAAAGCTCAGCTTGTTGTCCGGGAGTTGAACGTCTATGTTTCCCATTATTAATTGAAATGGTGTTTGACTTTTCTTTCTTCTTCTTTGTGTTGCAATTAAGAATAAGTGGTAATTGATGATGGAATCTTTACTAGGGGTGGCTATACGGTCCGGTCCGGTTAAATTGGTCCAAATTGATCCGGTCCAGTCCGGTTTTTTTGAAAATATAAGGACCGAAGATTGGATTGGATATAGTCCGGTCTTGATCCGGTCCGGTCTTGACTCGGTCCGGTCCCAATTCGGTCTTGATTTTATATTAAGATTGTGGGAATTTGAGTGGCCTAAGGCCTAAAAGGGTGAGGAGTTGGTTAAGTTTTGTACTAAGTGCAAATGTTTGTGACCGTTTATGCAAATTACCCTTAAGTTTTGGGTGTTAAGCTCTCTTATCCGGTCTTTATCCGGTTTTTTACCTCAAATCTAAGCCCAAAGATTGGATTGGATTGTTTACTATCCGGTCCGGGTTATACGGTCCGGTTTCCGGTTTTTCATCCGGTCCCGGTCCAAATAGCCAGCCCTAATCTTTACCCTGCCAATTCCGATGATGGTCAACAAATTGGTCAGGAATATTGATGAGATTTTTGTGACTTTTTTTAGGATTGTTTGCTTCTCTTTGGTCAGATTTTGGATTGTATTATGGATTTTGAAGAATCTATTGCTTGCTTGCTTGTTATGCATGTATCGTGGATTGTTGGGTAATACGGTGGTAAAAATATAATTATGGATTTATGACGATATTCCCAAATATCACCAAGTGTTACACTTGGGATTTATAGGTTTGGAAATTACAAGTTTATGAGACCCACTAATTTGAACAATCTAAGTCTATGGCCCCACAAATTTGGTCTCAAAACGTATATAATTTGCACCGGAATCTAATTATAAATACATGAAACATACCACTCCTTGTAATTTTTTTTTTTGTTGAAATATGAGTGGCTAGCTAGTAGCTACCCCGCTTAGGCCACCAAATGTGTGAAACAATAATTTAGATCACTGAATACTAAATACGACTAAAGTACTATATTTGGTGGAGGAATCTTGCTATATAGCATTGGTTCTATAGGTTTTAGCATTTATGGTACAACTTGAAGTTGTACCTTTAACGTTATGGTACAATTTCAGATTGTACCTATACTCTTTTGTACAAATTCTTTTATGGTACAACTTGAACTTGTACCTTTATGTGATGGTACAACCTTAAGTTGTAAAGTTACCATAACATAAGGGTACTAATTCATTTATGGTACAACCTGAACTTATATATTTAACGTTATGTTACAATTTCAAGTCGTACATTAAAGCACCAATGCTTTATAGCATAGTAGAAGTGCTCATATTTGGTGACCATATTCTTTGTTGCCAAAATTTAAAGGTTTGTTGGGGGTTGTTATAAAAACATCATTAGAATGATAGACGATATGTGTGAATCGAATCGAAGAGCATATCATGTCGATGTATAAGCTGAACTACATCTTGTTTATTATAAAAAAAAATTTACAAGGTTAAATCATAATTATTTATTTTTTATGAATAAGAGATATTTATTTAATCAATACGATCATTACATAGTCAAACCTCTTTACACAAAACATGTCAACCTCTATATAAAAGTTCTACCTAAAAAATCAACCATCAAACAATCATAATTTTCATTAAGAACGAGCATCCAAACAAACTGTCCGGTGCATCTCAAGATGATATAATACAACCATCAAACATGGAATCTATCTACTTAAACTATCATCAATCTAATTACCATCCCAAGCTCAACGTACTCAAGCCTTCATTCAACACATTCACACCCTCAGCTTTACAACGAATCATACTCTTCAAATTAGCACTTAACTGGCCTAGAGCTTTAGCCCCTGTCGAGCCTTACAATCTTGAGTATCATTCCCTCCATATATATAACACCCCAATCTGCCATTACAACTAGAGCACCAGCTTCCCACTCCAGCTACTGGAACACCAATGCAACAGCGAGTCCCAATCCTGAATCTGTTAGCGGGTGTTGGGTTCGGCCCATTGTTCGGAGCCCATCTGGCCGAACTAAGGGTCTCCTTCTCCTCTTGGGATGTGTATGTAGAATGCCCTAGGGGAATGTATAAATAGCAACGTTGTATGACGAGAAAGACTACGAAAAACCTAATAATAATTTCAGCTCGGAGAGTTCTACCTCTCCCGTGGACTAGTCCCGTTATCGGGGAAACCACGTAAATCTGTGTGTCGTTTTATTGTTCTGTTCAGTTCAGTTCAGCTTTCTCAACATGGTATCAGAGCTTTCTGCATCCGATTCTGATCGGCTTTCTGTTCGGCTCAATTCGAAGAATTATGCGCTATGGGAGTTTCAGTTCAAGGTATTTGTTGAAGGGCGAGGGCTGCTCTCGCTGTTGACTGGTGATTCGCCGCGGCCTGTGACTCCGCCGGCAACGGTTCAAGAGGTCGATCGCTGGGTTCAAAATAATGCCAGGGTTAAGACCTGGATTCTCGGCTCTGTTGATCCCAACATTGCTCTCGGTCTGCGTTTGTTTACCACTGCGGCCGAGATGTGGCAGCACTTGGCGTCTACGTACGGGACTACGAGTGTCGCGCGGCAGTTCGAGATCCAAACTGCACTCGCGCGTCTGGAACAAGGCGAGATGGATGTCACGGCCTACTTTCAAGCGGCGCAGCTTCTGTGGACAGAGCAGGATCTGCTCCAGGCTTCATTGCGTCCTACCCCGATCACGGATGACGTTCGGGCTGAGCGCTCCCAAGCTCGTCTTCTCAACTTCTTGATGCGGCTGCGTCCGGAATTTGAGACTGTTCGGGCCACGTTGCTGAATCAGGAGGAGCTTAAAATGGATGGTGTGCTGGGTACGTTGGTTCGGGAAGAGACGCGACTCCGAACACAGTCACAGCTCGATGCGTGGCCTGGAGTTGGTGATCCGGCTTTTTCGGTGGCAGCTCCTCGTCGCCAGGAAGGGCGTGCTGGTGATGATGACGTTTTTGCTGTGGGCAAGCCTCAATTTCAACGTCGTGTGCCTGTCTCCGAACTTACCTGTCATCATTGTCAAGAGGTGGGTCATGTTCAGAAGTATTGTAAGGTTCGGAATTTCTGTGTTTTCTGCAAGAAGGGAGGCCACATCATTTCAGAGTGCCGCTGTCTGAAATCGCGTGCACAGGGAGCTGTTGGTGCTGGTCCGAGTTCGTCACCTGCTGCGGGTGCGTATGCTACGCAGCTTCCGTCTCCTGTTGTTGCTGAGGCGAACTCGAGCCATGGTGCTCCGCCGCCAACTGCTGGCCCTGCTGGTCTTACGTCTGCTGACGTCGAGCGTTTGATCAATGCTGCCCTACAGAAATCTCTTCCTACGGCTATCTCGTCTGCTTTTGCTACTTTCCAAGGATCGGGTAATGTCTCTAAACCATGGCTTTTGGATTCAGCGTGCTTTAATCATATGACTAATACTATGGATCATCTTCAACGTGTTCGGCCGGTTATGGACAAGTCAATCCAAGTTGCCAGTGGTTCTCGGTTACCTATTGCTAATATTGGTCATTTTGTGGACTCTAAATTATCTCTACCCCATACCTTGCATGTCCCGAAGCTAGTTCCTAACTTGGTTTCTGTTGGACAATTGACTGAGCAAAACTGTCGTGTTGTGTTCGACCCTTCTGGTTGTATTGTTCAGGATTTGATGACGGGGAGGCAGATCGGCCGGGGAAGTAAACATGGACGGAGTTTTCATTTAGAGGAGCTGTCGGATCAACCTTGTCGGAATTTTTCTCCTGCACGGCAGGAATCGGTGTCTAGGGAACCACTTTTGTCTGCTTTTTCCAGTGTAAAATGTTCGGATATGGATCTTTGGCACTCTCGTTTAGGCCACCCTCATTCAAGTAGATTGGTTGCTATGTTTAAACAGAAGCTATTTGGGAATAAAAAGGTTGATAGCTCCATTGGTGATTTTGTTTGTACGAGTTGTGTGGAGGCAAAATCTACTCGTAGTTCTTTTCCGTCTAGTCATACTGTGATCACTGAGCCATTTCATGTCGTACACACGGATCTCTGGGGTCCGTCACCTGATCTATCTCGTCATGGGTACAGATATTTTGCTCTGTTTGTCGATCATGCTACTCGTTTCACTTGGGTTTATTTTCTACGTCTTAAGTCAGAGCTGTTATCCGTTGCTACTGAGTTTCTTAAGATGATTCAGACACAGTTTGGTTGTACGGTGCGTGTGGTTCGTTCTGATCCCGGTGGGGAGTTTAGCTCTCACCCTTTGGCTGCTTTGTTTCGAGAACAGGGTATTTTGACACAGAAATCATGTCCGGGTGTTTCTCAACAGAATGGTTTGGTCGATCGAAAGAATCGCCATGTCGTGGAATTGACTAGAGCTTTGCTTCTTGCTTCTCATGTGCCTCGGCGGTTTTGGCCCGAGGCCGTTGCTACTGCCGTTCGGCTGATTAACTATCAGATTACACCGGTGCTTGGTCAGTCTAGTCCTCATTTTATGCTGTTTCATAAGCACCCAGATTACTCACGGCTTCGTGTCTTTGGTTGCACGTGTTTTGTCCTTTTGTCTCGTAAGGAGCGTACTAAGCTGACATCCAAAACAGTTAAGTGCGTTTTCCTCGGTTATAGCGATATACATAAGGGCTATTTATGTTTTGATCCTGTAGCTCAGCGTCTGAGGGTGTCTTGTGATGTGCTGTTCTTGGAGCGACTTATGTACTATCCGGTTGAGTCCATACCTGATGATACATCGGTGTCTCTTCCTTCTTTTCCCGATGAGCTAGATGATGATGGAGATGATTTACTTCCCCCCGACTCGCCTCCCCCCGACTCGTCCCCCGGTTCATCGACCTCGGCCTTGTCATCTCCCGGTTCTGTTTCGCTGTCTTCGTCCCCGGAGGATCCTGGTCCTCGTCGCTCACTTCGTGCCACCAAAGGTCAGCTTCCGGTTAGGTATCATGATTTTGTTACTTATAATGTTGATGCTATTGCTGTTCCTACATGTTATAAACAGGCGAAA